CTCCGAAGAGTAAAAAAATTCACAGATGATCAATGACTTTTAGACCCGTCAATGTTCGCATTGTCATTCATAAAATCATTTCAAAGGTGATGGCTAACCGGTTGAAATATGTTCTCCCTGATATTATTCCTGTTGACCAGAGCGTAGCGGCGTACGAGTCCCTTCACTATTCGAAAAATAAACAGGGTCGGAAAAGGGTACTCATGGCTATTAAAGTTGATACGAGCAAGGCGTGTGATAGATAGAGCGATTGGGGGTTTGGTAGGGGGTGCGTATCGTGGGTTATGAATTGCATCTCCCTCGGTCTTGTGTTCAGTTGCACATCGAGATATTACAACGTCTAGAGGTATTTCACAAGGTGATCGTCTGTCTCCTTATCTATTTTTATTATGCTCAGAAGGTCTCACGGCTTTGTTTAATATAGCTAGCAGTAATCGATCATTAAGATGTCTCTCTATTTGTAGAAGTATCCCACCAGCATCCCATCTTTTGTTCACGTATTACAGCGTATTTTCCATTGAAGCCTCACTTTCTCATTGTAGTCGATTCAAGCATGACGCAGCGCGGAAGTGATAACCTCGGAATCCACCAAGGGTGTTCTCTGAATCCACAAAGAACGATCTTCGAATCCACGAAGAAAATATTAAAAAGAGAAATTTTATTGATGAAAAGTTATTCTCCTTTGGGGTTACATGACTCTTCTTAAATAGAAAAACAAATAAAACTCCTAGTAAGATTAGAATTACAAAAATAAAAAGTATCAAATAAGACTCCTAGTAAGACTAGAATTACAAAAAAAAGGTTAAATTCTATCCTAAAAAGACTCCTTATAATAGAGGAAACAAATCATGAATCAAAATTGATTTTGTTTCCTAATCTAATTTGTCTCTAAAATTGAAGTTATTTCCTAATCTATATTTCCTAATCTAAATAGACTCCAACTCGGATTAAGCATCCTACACCAAAACATTTGCTCAATGTATAGGAGTTGACATCCGACCAATTAATAAATGCTGGTAAAATCAGCCTTATTCTTCACCAAAAATGTTCCAAAGCAAACTAGAGAGGTCATACATGCTGCACTCAGTATCAAGGCTGGAAAAGAAAATATACATTAAGACTGTGGCACAAGCAATTCGCACGTATATTATGAGTTGTTTTTAGCTACCCCAAAAAAATTGATCGATATATATGATTTAAATTCAATGATTGCTAATTTTTTGCGGATGCAACGATATGGCAAACGGAGGATTCAGTGGTGGTTTAATTGGCAATGGTCGCGTCGTGTCAAAAAAGATGGGGGGTATGGGGTTTACAGGCTTCAATGCATCTAATTTGGCAATGCTTGCCAAGCAAGTAAGGAGAATTATGTAGCAAATCCAAGGGTCTCTCATTCATGCTGTATTAAAATCAAAATATTTTCTGACTAATGATTTTTTTTTTCATCCTCAATTTGTCCTTCTATAGCTTCAGCTTTACATGGAAAAGTTTGTGGGAAGCAAAAAAAATGGCGGGTGGGAATTATGGAAAATCAGTAAAGGTATGGGGAGATAAATGGATATATTTGCAAGGGATGAGGCCTTAAAATGTTGAGAGCAATTAACATTGTCGCACGCGTTGCCTAATGATAGATTGATATGGCTTGCTGGCTCAAGGGAAAGTTTTAGTGTGATATCTTCGCGGTGGTTTTAATGGATCGAGGCATACACAAAAATTTATCAGACCCAAGATTTGGGAGGTTATTTCGGCCTTGAAACTCCCCGTTAATAAAACAAAGCTATTTGGACGGCGTTTAGCTCATGCAGTTACTCCCACACAAGAGGCTCTCGGCGTGCGTGGGATCACGGTGAACTCTGGTTACTTTCTCTGTAATTGTAGAATCGGCGAGAAATTTTGGATCAGAACATGTTTGGAGGCGCAGGAGGCGTTTTGGGTGCTGCGCGGTCGACCGCGGCGCAAGGCCGGTCGACCGCGAACGTGCACAAGCCATAGTAGAAGTCTGGATTTGGCGCGGTCGACCGCAAGACCATGCAGGCGAATTTGGTCTCTGTCGCTCAATCACGATCGACCGCGAGCTTTGGGCGATCGACCGCCAATCGGGTCAGGGCCTATTTTGTGTTTCCTGGTCTTATTGGGTTTGGTGTTTGCTATAAATACCAACATACGAATTAGGGTTTCTTTGGCTTTATTTGGAGATTGGTTTGGGGATATTTGGAGCACGGAAAAAGGAGAGTTTTTCTGAGCAATTGTTTGAGGGTTTATTTGGAGAGATTAAGAGATTTGTTGGTGAGATTAGTTGATTGATTTGAGTGTTTTGTAATCTCAGTTTGTACTTTTCTTCTCTATTAATGAAAACTCAATCCCCTTCTTACCCCGTGGACGTAGGCAATTTGCCAAACCACGTAGTACAAATAGAGATTACAAATTCACTCAAAATCTCTCAAACAAATCTCTCAAATCTCTCAAACAAAACCCTAACCAAATTGCTCAAAAAACTCTCTTTTCTGTGCACAAAACAAACCCCTCTTCCGCTCCCCAGAAACCTTAAAATGTGTTTGTATTTATACCAAACATTAATCCCAACCAGAACAGAAAACCGAAATCAGACCCAAACCCGACGCGCGGTCGACCGCACTTGACGCCGCGGTCGACCAGCTAGAACGACAGAAACCAATAAACAATTACAGGGTTTAGCGGTCGACCGTAGAAATCGCCGCGGTCGACAGGACAAAGCTCCGAAATTTGCCCTATACTTGTGCACGCTTGTAGTCGACCGCAGCTTGTCTCGGGGTCGATCGGCAAGCGTTCAAATGCATGTCTGCTTTATTTTTCTGATCTTCTCCAACGTTCTCGCCAATTCTACACCTTCATGAATATCAATCAAATGCATTTAAGAGAAATCACATTATCTATCATTTTTCATCGTGTTTAGATTCCTCTCCACTATCAAAAAAAGCCTGAAACAGCTTTTGTTATGGGAGAAGTGAAATTGCACTTCAAGCTTGACATGCTCTTCAAGTTTAACAAGGTACGTTGCATATTTTTTAAAAATAAGTACGTTGCATATTCAGTGAACTTAGCTTCATAACTTCATTGCATTCTTTTGAGTCTAATAAGAGATGAGATGTCTTGATCCCATGGACCAGAATGTGGAAGTCTTTAGCACGAACCTGTATATTTTTTGGGCTTACTATGTCTACACGAATTTTCCATGGGCTAACGCATGAGTAAAGATTATATTAAAACACTCCATACAAATGGGTAAATATAAACCATTCACGAGTAGTTAAAGAATTAGTTTAGGAATTGTGTGTAGAAACGGCGAAAACATTGG